TATTAACCTCTGCTTACTATTAGTAGAAACCTTACTATCTAGAAACTAACTATAATAAAGGTATAAGGAGAAACACCTCTATTAGATTATTTATAAAGTATGTATATTCTCTAAGGGCTATTTCTATTACCTTATTAAATTCTAGCTAGATACCTTTTAGAAGCTATATAGATAGGGATATAGGTATATTTAGCTTCTTCTTAGCTAGATAGTAAGCCTTCTAAGCTAGGTTAATAGTATATATTTAATTAGTGTCTATTTCTTTAGTTATCTTTAAGTTATTTATTATAGGAGAAGTTTAAGTAGTGTCTAGGTTTTAGTAGTTATTTATTAGCTTTAGGCACTAAAGAATTATCTTTAGGGTTACTAAGGGGGTTTTTATATTACTAATTAGGTTGTTTTCTTTATTAAGTTTTATAACGTTTTTCTTAAAAGTTACTATCTTTTTATTTAGGGTTTTAATAATAGTTTTAGATTAAGTAGGCTTAGCTAGTAGGAGATCTTTATTTTAGTATAATTACTAGAGGTGTTTCTATAAAGTAGTTTATAGTAGTTTATCTAATTACTTTCTTATAATAGTAAAAGCTTAGGAGCTATAACTTTAATTAAAGCTAGCTATAATTATATAAATATACCTAGTTATTATCAATATTAGCACGTTATTAGAGAATTTTACTTTTATAAAGTTTACTTTAGCCTCTTAAGGCAGGCTAATCTATTTATTAAAGATTTCCTTAGTAATATACTTAGAGATTAGATCTTTACTAAAGTTAGAAATATAAGTAAGTAGTGCTACTTAATTTAAATAACCTCCTCACTAGCTGTTATCTAGAATAGTAAGTAGTACTATAAATATTAATAAACTACTATTCTAAGGCCTATATTTTTAAGATCTTTATACTAAGAGGACTAGCTTAGTGCTTTTATTTATTATATACTAATTATAGTCTTTAATATAGTTACTTATAGTAAGGTAATAGTACTAATAATATAATTAATAAGTAAGTATTTTAGATAAGTAAGTGTCCTATATAATAGTACCCCTAATATATTTTATAAAAGATATTGATAATAAAATAATTAGATTAATTAGAACTACTTAGAATCCTTCTCTCTAGATATTTCTTTAAAAAACTAATACGTTTACATATTATAACTAGTGTTTCTATAGACACTATATTACCTTTAGCCTGTCTAAGTCCTTAGTTAATAACTACGACTCTAATATATCTCCTCCTTAATCTAAGCTATAGCCTCTTTTTATAACTAAAGGTCCTCTACTTTAGCTATAGTAAGACTTTTTTCTTATTATAAATAGGTTTTTTTAGCTCTCTAGTGCTAGCTAAGTAGGTTATTTTCCTTTTAAAAGATCTAGACCTTAGACCTTAATAAGGTAATCTAGTATATAAACCTATATATACCTTTTAATAAATACTTTATAGCTTTAAGAATTAAGATTAAGAGCTACTTTAATAGTAAAAAATTCTTTTTTTAATAAGATTAGACTAATAAATTACTTCTATTAGGTTACTTAGTGTTTAAGAAGTCTATAAAAGGGGTGTTATTAGGAGGGATCCTAGAGGTGTCTAAGTATATAGCTTTATATTAAGCTTAAAAAGTACACTTTTTATACTTAAAGAGATAAGTCTAGTGCCTTTAAAACCTCTCTAGATATTTTTTTTTATAATTACTTTTATAAAAGCTGTATAGAATATAAAAAAGAAATTCTTTTTTATAATATAAGTATTACTTTTATATATTTTCTTCTTAATTTCTTAACTATATACTATTTTTAAAGGCCTAAAATATTTAATATCTAAAGGCTAAAGTAAGTAAATAAAGTAGTATATAAAAAGTAATAATATTATTTTTTTTATTAAGTAGTTTAAAATCTATAAAGTAAAGACTTTTATACTTATTAATTATAAGAAGGTAATATTAACTTTTTATATATAGTTTTATATACTATTTAAAGTGTTATAAGTAATTTAATCCTTTTTTATTTATTATTTATCTATTTTTAAATATTATAATAACCTAATTATATAAAAGACTAAATTCTATATACTAAGTAAAGAGGTAGTATTAGTTTATAATAATAATATATAGTAAAATGCTATAGCCTAATAAACTAATAGCTTAAATAACTATAACTTATTTATAATTACTAGGCTGTATTATTTTTATATTTAAAAGCCTTTTAGTACTTATAATAACTATTTTAGTATATAAGTAGATAATATAATTAGCCTTATAGATAATAAATTCTCTACCTATAAGAAGAAAAAGCTTAAAAAGGCGACTTTTACTATAAAGCCTAAGTAACTATTAACTATTAATAATTCTATTACCTTTAATAGCAGTATACTTTCTCTTAGCTATAATATTAAAAAGAAATTCTACTAAAAGGATTAAGGCATAAAGCTTTAGTCTATTAATATAAATTTACCTACTACTAAGTAACATCTTATTTAGTAAAAGGTCTATAAGGTATATATTATATTAATTTACTAACCTAAGGCTTACTTTAACTATTTAGTTACTATATAACACTAAGAACCTATAGAGAAGGAGATTAAGGCTCTAAATTACTAAATTAAATAGTAAATAAGCCACCTTAACTACAGCCTGCTTTTTTTACTAATTAACCTTATAACTATAAAGCTTTTTATTCTTATTAATAGCTTATTTATAAATAACTATAACTTTACCTTATAACTTAGCTTTATTATTATACTTACTAATAAAGGTAATATTATATAACCTACTACTAATAATAAGAAATTTATACTTACTAGTAATATTATTTACTTTAGCTTAATAAAGTATAAAAAAGTTATATATAGCGTACTAGTCTTTAAGGTCTATAGTATAGTTACTAGCGCTAATGTTACCTATATAATTAGTACTACACTTATAAAAATTACTAACTACCTTACGTTACTATAAATCCTAATAATCCTCTATACTAATTTATACTCCCTCTATAAGTGCCTTATAAAGCTTAGCACTACTAAGGAGAAGTAACTTATAATTAATATTATAGCGCTTTACTAGTTATATAAGTAACGTAAGATCTATAAGATCTAATAGATATAAGAGGAGGATAAACTAGTAAATAGATTTATAAAGTTATTACTAAATAAAGCACTAAAGTAGTTATTTAATAATAGATAATTAAAGATATAGATAAATAAATAGGTTCTATATATATAATAGGTTATATATTTAAAAACTATTAAATACTTTTTAGCCTTTTGTTTTAATTACGTTTTTAGGCTTTTTATAAATAGCTAGAAAACAGGGATATTTATAGCACTTTAGAAGGTTACTAGTGTTATAATATTAACTATTACCTAGATATTAGCGGTAGGATTAACACTAAAATTAGCTAGAATAACTATAGCTAATTTACTATAGATCTACTAGATCTATAGGGTTATTACGTAGCTAATTTGCTACGTAATCCTATAATAGTTTTCCTTTTTTACGTATAATCTAGAACTATTATTTACCCCTATTATTTGTTATTACCTATTAATACGTATAGTTAACTGTATTACTAACCTAGTAAAACTAATATATTACTTTATAAGTAAATTCTTTCTAAGTAAAATAACGTTCTACTTAAGGTCTAAGTAAGAAGTATTATAGTTAGTAGTACCTCTTATATAATAAGTAGTATAGTAAGTATAACCTTAATTAGGTAGGTCCTTATTAATACTTAGATTACTTGTTAAATTATCTAAGATCTCTAAGTCCCCTAATTTATAGAGATTTCTAGTTTAGTTTTTTATATTTTATAAGTGTCTTATTCTTATCTTACTATTTTACTTATTATCTTTAAACTAAGGTAGCCCTTAATAAAATACTACTTATATCTAGATTCTATTAGCTATATAAATTATAAATCTTTTACCTACTTATTTTATATTTATATTACTTTTATAATATTAATACTACTAAGTTAGTGTATAGTTTATACTTTATACCTTATTTTAGAAATCTTTATTCTAAAAAGAAAGACTATTAACAGTATATAGTAGCGTAATTAAGGACTCTAGTTATAATAGTAATATATAAACTAATATACTAACACCTTATAACGTAAAGTAACTTAGGTACCTAGTCTAATTATATTAAGTTTCTAAGACCTAATTAGGCTTTTAATACTAATTAAATTCTAATAACTTAATTAGGTAAAGTAGATAGCTCCTTATTACTTAAGTTATTATATATTAGCTAGCTTAACTAGAGAGTAAGGCACTAGTTTAAAGACTTTTTAAGAAAAAAAGAAGAATTAAAGGAGGAAGCATAATTGTTCTCTGTCTAATGCGGCTAATTAGAAGGTTCTTATACTTCCTAACGCTAATTAGACTCTTCCCTTTTTCTATAACCACTAAACAAATGAAATCCCCATCCCCGCTCCAATAGGCTGGTTACCTATACTATTCGTCACCCATCTAGAAAGGTTTAAAAGGGCTGGGATGACCACGCATCTACACTGGCCCTCCTAGAGCAGCAAAACAAGGCATTCCAGGCCCAGCTGGAGGACCAGCGGCAACGCAAGAGGAAAAAGGTCTCACTATCACTTAACCGCACCTTCGCCACTATAGAAGATATCCAGCGGGAGCAAAATACGAATGCCGGTGATATAGATGATCCGGATAAATCCAGTGCATCCAAAGTATCCAGCGAGGCCGAAAGTTGCATAATTATGGGTGCGCGGAAAGCCTGTGGAATAATAAGTGGTGATGGTGATGGTGATGGTCAAGAAAATTTCGCCAAGATCAGGCGTGGGGATTCTCAAGCATCGCTGTTGCTATCACATAGACGAAGACACAGACTCAAAGATGAGTCTCTAGAGTCTCCTGTATGTGGGAACGTTTGAAGAAATTCTCTATTCCACCGTACCGTCAAGGCGTAGCGTGGCCCAAATGCTACCATTTTGTAGCAACATGATGAACGTCAGTGAGATGACCACAGCCATAGTCTCTGACCTACAAAAGGTCCAGACGATTCGTTCGGCATTGTTTCGACTGTACAATATCCCCTAGCTCAGTTTTTGGCTGGATATATGGCTTGATCGCGGCACGAGCTTTAGTCCTCTGCTCGAAAGCATATGCCATGCTTATCAAATTCTCCTCGCTGAACGCTGCACCAGCAAAACCAATACCAAAAGGCAAGTTCGGTGCCAAAACATCGAGATTGCCGAGGTCATCCTTCACAATCGGCGTGTCGTCCGGATGCCTTCCGAAAGGAACAGTTATGACCGGCGTGCCTAGAAGCGCCGCGGGACCCAATACGTATTTCGTCGGAAGCACCAGAGCGTCGAGCGAATGGTTCTTCAAAGCTCCCTCGTACCCCAGAGGACCCGCAAGATACTGTCTCTCGGTGTAAAGCTCCCAAAAGAGGGGATCGGTGTTGCGAATCCCTCTTACAAGCTCTCTATCCCAGAGTTCAGTATTATGTTCCGGATAGCCTTCGCGTGGGTCGCCTTGCGTCCAATTTCGAAGCTCGGCGACCGTGGTGATGTTGTGAGGGTTGTAGGTAAGCTTCGCAAAGTATTCCTCGAGGTTTACGAGGAAGTCTGCACCCATGACCTGGCCAGATAGGCTGAGTAGACGTGTAACATGGTCACCCACGGGAAGCCGTATGTCGTCGATAATCTCAGCTCCGGCAGATCTCAGAGTGTCTACCGCAGAGTCGAAGATGGAGATGGAGTAGTTGGTATTCGGCCAAGGTGCGTCTTTAAACAGATGCCTCGGGATACCAATTCGTTTCCCCTGGAGACCTGAGTCAACACAAGCTGCGGCGTAGTTTGGCGTCTCCGTGAACGGTATAGCTGAAGTGTAGTTGTCTCGGGGATCCGGCCCTGTGATAGCTGCTAGTAAATGCGCGGCATCTTTCACCGTACGAGCCATTGGACCGACTACATCCTGGTGCTCGGTAATCGGTATGACGAGGTGCCGTGAGACGAGACCGAGAGTGGGTTTGATTCCCACGAGATTGGAGACATCGCAGGGCATAGTAATCGACCCCAGTGTCTCCGTGCCAAGTGAAGCCCACGCGAGACCGATTGAAGATGCGATTCCACTTCCTGAGGAGGACCCCGACGGGTCTTGGTTTGGATAGAACGCCCCGATCGGCTGGTCCCCTCGAGCAGACCATCCAGAGCTGGAGTTGGTACCCCGAAAAGTCGCCCATTGGTCCATGGTGGTCTTACCAAGAATAACGGCACCGGCTCTGCGGAGCCTGTCCGCCGCATTACTGTCTTGGCCAACTTTGGCTCCAACGAGCACGAAAGAGCCAGCAGTGTTATTCATCTTGTCGTTGGTCGCAATGTTGTCCTTCAGGAGCACTGGGATGCCGTGGAGATGGCCAAGAGGCTCACCTTGCGTTCGCGCTTGGTCTAGAGAAGCAGCGATGGAGACTGCGTCAGGGTTGATCTCAGCGATGGCGTGCAGGTCATTGTTTACCTCGTTAATACGAGCGACGTAGGCATTCACCAAGTCAACGCTAGTGAAGAGACCGCTATTAAGCCCTTGGCGTAGATCATCTAGAGTTGCGTCTAGAAGGGGCGGGAAATTGGCAGTTGAAGGCCGTCGGCAGAATGAAGCTGCATAGACCGAGCATAAAAGGCGTGAAACGGCCTTAGCAAACCAAGATGACACCATGTTTTTGGTGTAATTCAAGTACAATTGATGTGAGATTTGGTCTCACGAAGCACTAATGGACCACAAAGTCAGAGAATTCTTCGTGGCGCGGATGTAGCCGTGATGTCCATGGACGTGTTATTCTGGGCGAACACCAACCTTAATAGGTTCGGAGGATTGCAACCCCGGTCAGTAATCTCGTGTCATCCAGCCTGGGGATTCGTGCGGTTAATGAGGCATTTGTCTCACTTGCATATGAATATATTGTATGGTTGACTCATCTGGCTAGAGTGGCGAATCGTTGAATCTTGGTAAGCTATTCTGTACTTTGGATCAAAGTACATCCCTGAGCCGGCGAGCGGCACTCGGTATGTATGTTTTGAGGAAACTCGGTACTTAATGGAGCTGTTCTCGGACTGGCCCTAGATTCGCGGCAACGGTTCCAGCGCTCTGACTGGCAGCAACCTGTTGAAGCGCGTAATTAGCAGCAATATCCTTGTGTTGATTAATTGCTCTGTTGTGTGTCTCAGCCTATTGTGGCATGCTGCTATTGCCGATTGGCCCTTCTAAAGGGGCAAATATATAGAACATTGTTTCCTCTTTATTTAGGTAGGGAAATCCATCCCGGAAATAACTAGCACATTTGTGGCCATTTTCCCCACTTCGACAACAAGAGCCTTTTAAGAATAATGTACTGCTACTTTGACAGTGTTCCTGGCCCTAGAGATGTCCTCTGGAGAGATTGCTATATTTCTAAACTGACAGATGACTTGGACGGCCACTATCACTAATAGCCCTGGGCAACCAGGTGCCCAGGCAAAGAATTGTAATAACGGCCTGTATAAGGGGCGTTCGGGTCGCCCAGCTCATCGTACAGTTCGGTCCCGACAGCAATATGCCAGACCTTGACGTGCTCGCGACCGACCTCGTGTGGGTTCTCGTGCTCGGGGAAGCCACGCACAAGCTCCACGCAGGGGGAGAGCAGGGCGAGCTCGTCGACCATGACGAAGAACTCGTACCTGGCGCCCCGGGGCACGTATACCATCTGTGCCGGGTCGGCCTGGCTGGGCTTGAAGGGGAGCATGTTCTCCGACTCGACCCAGCTCTGAAAGCGGCGCTGAAGATTGGCGATGGAAATGTTGTCTAGCGAAGGGTCGTCGGCGAAGATGAAGTCCATGTTATTGAGGATCTCTGGGGCGAGGGAGTGGGTGATTTTGTTGCGGAGGTTGGAGAGGACGAGGGCCTTGAACTGGTCCCATTTCGGGGTCGAGGAGGGGTTGTAAGTTGTGCGGTAAATCACAGAGCCGCATTTCGAGTAGCCGCAGTCGCGGATGTTGGTTTCGGGGGTGGGTTCCTGGAACTCCTCGTCTTCTTCGGACATGTCGGAGCCCCGGTCGGAGGGTGGCGGGGAGGACATGGTGTCGTGGTGATGGTGGTGAGATGCGAGGGGTAATATTGCCGGTGATGGGAGTCGTCGGTGAATGGCGATGTTGCTGGTTCGGAAGCAGTGGTTGGAGATGCGAGGGATGCGGTTGATGAATCCGAGCGAGCGCATGCTGTGCTAGGCTTTAAAGGATGGATACATGAAGAGTATTTAACTACGGAGTATTAATTATCTATCTATCAAACTGGCGTGCTTGGCCGGCGGTTACCCGATGCCTAGGCTACCCGGGTACCTATGCACTTGGATGATATGGTACAGTGACATGTCATAAGTCTGGGCTCACCACACATGTGCCACACCGGATAAGTAAGCCCAGACTTCTATCATATGACTGTAGGTAGTTCTTGTGAGGTCACCACGCCGACTAGTCAGGGGTAAGCGCTTAGGTGTTAGCCGGGATGAGCCGGGGTGGCTGCAGGTACTTAGTAGGTATTCGTACACGTCCACGGGGATTATAAACTGTTGGTAAATCACAGTAGAGGGATATCCCAATTATCACGTAGTAGATCGTGATCAGGAATATGGTGTTGTTGCTTGTTCTTTTCTGCGTGTATCTAGATTTATAGCACTTATATAAGTATATCCCCTGTAGTGTGGGAAGGTAGATACTGCCAGGGGAGGCAGTATGTCACGTAAATATCATGTAACCTACCTCCCTAGAGTATTCCTACTATATACTAACACTAGTAACTTTCTATTATAGTAAAAGTTACTAGTGCCTAAGCTATCTAGATTAGCTTTAAAAAGCCTAAAAACGTAATAAAAAGTAAAACTTTAAAAGTATTATACTTCTTATAGTTACATACAATATGTTCTTATATCCTCTATTTTCTACTAGTAGTGTAGACTTATACTACCTTATTTAGGGGTATTTCTTCTTAGCTATAGCTATTAAAGGCGTATTCCTATATTAGGTAGATTTACTAGCTATATTATTACCTTTAGTTATATAAATTTATTCTTTAATATATACCTCTTATAATCTATTATGCCTATATAACCTAGCCTTTGATATATATTTTTACTTTATTACTTATTACTGATTCTTTAAGTGCTTAATTTAGTAAGGACTTTATAAATTTATTAGTTAGGTTATTAGTGCTAGTAATCTATTAAACTTTATATAACTTATATCTCTTATAAGACTATCTTAATAATATAATATTAATTATTAGATATTTCTTTTTAGTAGTTCCTAGCTTAACTAAGTATTTATAAAGAGAATATAAATCTATATATATAATAGTTAGGATTAATAAGATATTAAGCTTATATATAATTATTATAATAGTTATAAATAAGGCGTAAGCTATATTAACGCCTATAACTATCTTATATACTTTAGATATAAAAACGCTTTATATAACTTATTTAGACTTTATAAATAAGAAATAAAAGACGTTACTATAGAAAGAAAATTTAGCTTACTTATTATTAACTTTTTTATTAGTAAGGAGGATAATAAATCCTAACTATAAAGTTATATAATAATTATTAGTAGATAATTTATTTAAAAATATAAATAGCTTAGCTAATATTAGATCTAAAGGAATAAATTATAAACTATAGTTAAGTAAGTTTATTTACTATTATAGTTAATAGTTAAGGTCTTTAATTACCTTATTATCTAGCTTCTTATACTAGGCTGTAATAAAAAGGTTATAATATACTTTAGGTTAGTAAACCAAGGTAATATATACTCTTTATACTTACTACTAAATAAAATCCTAGTAAGCTATAGGTAATTTAGTGTTAATTAATTAGAGCTTTATTTTTTACCTTTTTTAGTAAAACGTAAGAGATATATATTACAAGCAGGTTAAAGTAACTAACTCTAGTATAAAGTAAAAGCTTTAGTAATAATACACCTATATTATTATCCCCTATTCTACACTATATAGTTATATTAGCTAGCACCTAACTAGTTAGATTATAACACTATATCTCCCCTCTAAAAGGTATGTCCCTATGCCTAGTGACTAACCAGGCATATCACAGGTATAAGCAGGGAAACTCTAGTAGGGGTATAGAGGACTAATCCTACACATGCTGCTTACAGTCAGAACGCTAAGGACTCTAGAGAGGATCCTATCTAGCTAGCAGCACTAGGATTTAAACCTATACCCTCTACATAAGGTAGGTGTATTATTATGTTATAAGCAGGTTAAAGTAACTAACTCTAGCATAAAGCAAAAGCTTTAGTAATAATACACCTATATTATTATCCTTTATTCTACACTATATAGTTATATTAGCTAGCACCTAACTAGTTAGATTATAATAATATATCTATAGTAAATATAACTATAATAATTCTACTATTAAAAGTAAGTAGTTAATTAATTATAAGGAATAACTTATCTTTTATAGTAAATTTTACTTTAGTTAGTTCCTTATTCTCTTAGTTAGAAAAAGAAGGATTAGTTAGGCTAATTATATTATCTATTTATATCCTAATAAAGGTAAAGTTTAGATTATTATTAAATACTAACAGGAGGTAAGGATTATAAGTAGTAAATACTATCTAAAGACTTTCCTTATAATAGTAATTATAAGTTACTTACTAGTAAGTACCTACCTTAGTAATCCTATATAGAGGCTTAATAACTTTTATAATAATATTATTAAGATACTTATAGTAGATCTAGGCTAGTAATTTAGTATAAATAGTATAATTTAAGTAAAAAGTAAATTAAATATAGGTATATATAATATTATTATTATAAATAATTAAGTTAGGTATAAAAGTAGTAAGTAAATATACTATAAACGTAAAGTTAGGTTACTAGTATTACTAATACTAAAAGCTACTCCCTCTTTTCTTTCTCTTTCCTCCTTATCCCTTTTATACGTCTATACGCCTTTACTTTACCCCTTATACGCCCTAACTCCTATATACTTTATAGTACTTAGCTTTACGTACGTGTTACTCCCTAGGGCATATAACTAGTAGCCTGCTTAGCTAGCCTACCTAACTGCTCCTAATAAAGCGCTTCTTTTTTTTAGGTTTTTATTTTAGAACCCCCTATAGCCTATATAAGTAGCTACGTTATTATTTTTACTTATTTACTATAGCTTTTTTGAAATTACTACTTCTTCTTTTTATAGTTATACTAATAAGTAAAAGTAGGTTACTTCTTTTTTTTTATACTTATACTAGTATTTTTTCTTTTATATTAAGTTTCTTATAGCCTATATAATAACTTTTTATAGCCTTTTAACTTTTTTTTTCCTTTTTTTTTATATTAATTTAATCTATATAGTGCTTTTTCTTTTTTTATTACTACGTTACTACTGCTTTTTACTAAAGCGCTAACTACTATTTTTTTTAAAAAAAGTATATCTTATACTTTTACCTACTTATTTTTTCTATAAGTGCTATACTTATTTAGTGTATTTTATACTTATTATAGCTCTTATACTAACGCTTTATAAATTCTTACTTATTTTCTTTACTATATTACTTTCTTACTTATATTTATAACTATAGGTTTACCTCTTTAGCTTAGTTACTACTTAATTACTAACTATTTTTTAGATAGCTAGAATTAATAAAGTAAAATATAATAAGTACACTAGTTATATTATTCTTAACGTAATCTCTTTAAATATATAGCTTAAAGCTAACTTCTTTACTTTATAAAGAAAAAGTAAGGGTATATCTTATAAGCGCTATAAGTATAGTAAGGTTTATACTACCCTCTATACGCCCTATATTTACTATCTTTATACCCTTAAGTCTACTAAATATTACTATAATTAAGGTAGTAAGTGTATTATTACCTTAGCTAGTTTACTACTTATATTTACTTTTAGGTTAAAGTATATATTATACTTACTATACTAATAGTAGTTATACCTACTTAGGTTTTATATATTATTCTTTAGTATATTCTTTTTACTACTTACCTCTTACTTATATACTACTAGATCCCCCCTTACTTACTTCTGTTATACTAGGCGCTTAACTAAGCTATAGCTACTTAGTATATAGCTAATACTACTACTAATAACGCCCTTAAGGTATATACTTATTTATTACTTTTTTACCTCTTTATTACTAATTATTTTTAGCTTTAGAAGGCCTTTAAGCTTATAGATAGTAATATAGGTTATATACTACACTAAGTTAACGCTACTACTACTACTTTACCTCTTATTCCTATTATACTTACTACTCCTCTAGTGCCTGTTACGCCTGTCCTACCTATTATACCTAGCGCCCTTATTATATTTACTAGCGCTATTACTACTACTATAGCTACCTTACTTTTTACTCTTACTTAAGTAAAGCGTATTACTTTTACTATTAAGTTAATTAGCGCCTTTATTAGTACTATAGGCTCTCTTTAGTTACTATTTTTATACTACCTCCCTACTAATTTATACTTAGTACTATACTAGCCTTTATAATAAGGTTAAGGAGCGCTATACTGCTTTTACTACTACTACACTACAGGAGAATAAGGAGATAGTTAAGGATAAAAAGGCTACTAATAAGGATAGCGTAGGCCTAAGTAACTAGTAAGCTACTTTTATAAAACTCTTTTACTTAGTTATTATATTATTAGCTATATATATACGCTATATATATATTAGTTCTGCTTTTTTCTAGTCTTAAATACCTTAGCCTATAGGCCTTAGTTACTTAGTCTTTAGGCCCTTAACGTTACTATTTTACTACTTCTTTACTCCTTATATTTCTTAATAAGGGATTTTATCTTAATATACTACTATAGCTTTTATATATCTTCTTTACTACTATACTACTTTTACTAAATTAGCTATTATTTATTTTACCTAAGTCCTTAGTAGTTAAGTATTAATTTAACTTTATATAGTATATTTATATTAATTTTACTTAGTAGTAGCTACTTTAGCTTTTTACTCTCCTTACTTTTAAACGTCTCTAGTAGTAATATTAAGAATATATTATAGATATAGTAGTATTAAAGGAGGTTAAGCTAGTACGC